ATTCACATTATGCTGTGAATATGCAATGGGCTAACCTACATGGATCTATACATAAAAAGTATTGATAAAGTATGTTAAGTGCCAGTACCTGCAGGTTGAACACAGCCTCCTTCAAGGTACCACTTCGGTGCACAGGACAGAAGAAGGGAGGTCAGGCATTTGAAACTCTTTCCGTGAACAGTAACCAGCCCCTGTTGCATATTTATTTCATTGTATGGTTAGATTTGATGTCTCAGCCTTTCTAGATTAACAGATGTTTAGAGTATATTTGCTACTCATTTTCTTTCATTACAGAATTTGCATTCTAGTACTTTGGTGCCTTGTCTCAGGTCACTGAGCTAGTAACTTTCAGAGCTGGGAATTTTGGCTCCCAAGGCCTTTTGTCATTTGCTGTGCTACAGGTCATGGTGATGCCAGTGGGAGGCAGGTGCTCAAGTGGCACGTGCTTGGTCTGCACACTCTCTTTGTTGTTTATTTGTACTTTTTTTCAAGGATTCACATGCTTTTTGTGTTTGTGAGGGGCAGCAGGTATTGATCAAGAGGCTCTTAAAAATTAAAATACACCACAAGAGATAGCCTTTTACCCTCAAGAGTACATTTATGTAGGCAAGTACAGTATTCAGTATATCTGGTAAATGAGAATGCATGCTCACAGAGTGTAATTGGAAGCTTATTATATACAAAGATATATTCTAACAGATATCCAAGTGTAACTTAAACTGAAAAAGCCAATACTGGAGTCATGTTCTACATCTTCCTGTCAGTGTTCATCGTATACTCTGTTATGGTGACCTTAAAACACTTTGTCGATAATCATGAGAATTCAGACCACGTTCATAAGGATTAGCAGCCGTGCTGTTCACGGATCTAAATATATGACTCCTTTCCGGTCGGGACAGCATCTTGTTTCCCAGCTGTTAGTGAAGTGCACACACAGAGGAGTCCCGAGAAAGAAAGGACTGAGATTTTAATAGTGATTATTCCATTTACATGTGCCCTGTGGGAGTTCTGTTTGGTTTTTGGTTTTCCAGCAAGTGCTGATGGAATCAGTAAATCAGTGTCCCATATACTTGACAGCATATGTTTAAAGTAGTATGTGGGGAGGTGCTGTTTCCACACCAGCCGCTCTGTGGATGACTGATTCCGTTTTATAAACCACAGCAGTGTCGTTGTTTTCAAACGCTAATGATTTGTCTTATTATTTCTTTGATTTAGTTCTTAAATGTTAGAAAGTAGTAGCGTTCAATTCGGGAAATGTTTAATTAGTGTTACGTAAGCTGGAATTCTTAGTGTGTATATTAATCATTTTGTGTCGTGCACAAATGCTGGGATAATCCAGACTGGAAAAGCAATTTTGAAATACCTACTGTTCATCTTTGGTCCAAGATTGCTGTCCACATGAGTGTCCACAGATAGGTAGGTGTCAGGTAGCAGGAGCCGCAGAGGATTTACCAGGAGATCCCTGACTGACTCTTGACCTTGGGCAAATCATTTGAGTTTTTTTCAGTCACCTCCCAGGTCAAATGGCGCTTCATGAAGTCTACCTTTTTTTTTTTTTTTTTTTTTTTTTTGACCTGCATTCCCTAAGTGACCCAGTGTGGGGAAGGGAAGACCGGTTAAGTTTTGCAGTTAGGTTTCTCACCTTTTCCCATATTCACAGAATGCATTCGAATCTTCTAAAATGTATCTACCTACTATTGTTATAAAAGAGAAGCCTGCATGAGATGGTGATGATAAGAATGAACACTTACATAGCGCCCCTCATGCCAGACTCAGTTTTAAGCACTTGTCTGCAGTGAGCCTTCAACTGTGGTGGGGATTAACCATATCCGTGACAAATGCTCCTCTCTTGCCATTGCTGGCATTTGGTTGTAGTTTGTGATCCTTGCCCCCTTTGCATCTAGTGAGTCCCGTGGACTAAACCAAGCCTTCTTCTACTTTTTAGGTATTATTTATCACTGTGATCTTACCAAAGAGGAACTGGAGCCAAGAGTTTTCCGAGAGGTGACTGTAAAAGGAATCGATGCTTCTGATTACCAGACAGTCCAGGTATGGAGAATATGATCTCGTTAATGTCAGAGTTAGGAATTCTGACTTTCAGGCTGGACCAGTTACTCTGCAGCCTATCAGAAGCAGTGGAGGTGATTCATGGTAATACAGACAAGTATTTGGAGCCCACACTGTTGATGGGCATTGAGCCAGGCACTCAGGACTCAGCGGTGAGCCGGTGTAGTCCCTGCCCTCCCATAGCCTGCAGGTTCTGCTCCCGTGACTGCTACTCTTGACAGGAAGCCATAGTTCTTTGTCTTGGGGCTCACATTTCTGTCTGTGTCAGTCTGCTTACTTCAAAATGGATTGTGTTCCAGCTCAGGTCTTTTGGTGTTGTAAGTAACATGGAGATTTGCTCCATGTAAAGTGCTGCCTTAAGTGCTGTGAGTCAGTGTTTTTAGTCTGAAGTTCATGGGCATTTCTGCATGGCACAGAGTAGACACTCAATAAAAATGAATTAATTAATTGTCATGTCACCACAGGTTTCATCTTTGGTCCCCATCTTTTCAGGTCAGGAATCTCCTTTTTTGTTTTTTCAGCTCCCCAAGGGTACTGAGTCTTTCAGCAACTGAATCACTGGTTGATGGTGACGAAGAATGTCTCTGTTCCTTTGCAATGAGAGGTCACCAAGTAGGGCACCAGGTGTTTTATCAAGGCCCTCCCACCTGGAGGGCTGGACCACACAGACCACAGATTAGGAATCAGAGCATTGTTTGTGAAGGAAGATTAGAACAAAGAGCACTGGATGTTCCCCACAATGTTTCTGTAAAACTAGGGCATTATTATAGCTTGGTGAATTACCCTTCAATTGTCTAGAAATGGTCTAGATGATAGGCTACATCTAGATCATGAATAAAGCTTTGTTTACACAGACAGGTGGTGGGCTGGATTTGGTGTAGGCCTATGATTTATCAGCCCCTGTTCTGTATCAGCAGTTGGCAATCTGGCCTCCTGTTTTCTTGGAGAACACATGTCCATTTATTTACATATTGCCTGTGGTTGCTTTGGTACTTGGAGTGGTTGCAACAGAAACTCTATGGTCCAGAAGGCCTAAAATATTTAATCTGTAGCCTTTGAGAAACAGTTTGCAGAATCTTCATCTACGTAAACAGCATTTAAAAGCACAACATTCTTGATAGACATACAGGGCCTTTGTCAAGAAGTCCTGTCAGACAGGCCTGAAATCTACCTTTGGCAAGTCATTTAACTTTTCTGCCAAAATTTTTTCAACCATAAAGTAGAGATTGATAGTATCTATTTTGTAGGATTCCTGTGAGATGATTAGGAGATAAAGTATATGAAAGATCTGGCAATAGAATATAATCTATTTTTTTCAATCAGCATTAAAAATTAACAGACTTTTAGTTTTCTGTATTTATTTGGCTTACTTCTTGTTGGTTTCATTTTTGCAGTGAGGCATTGCCTGGAGAGAGATCCTGCCGGGGCCTGCAGCCCCTGTCTGGTGTTTTCATGGTTCATGAATTCACCTTCATCCTGTATCAGTCTTTTAACATCTGTTCACTTTTAATCTGGCATTCTTTGCTCTTTTCCCTTTTCTCTAATTTGTAGAAAATATGTCCCTATCAGCTGTGACATTTGGCCTTCTCAGGACCTAGTTCTGGTCCTTGCCTGGGTATCCCCAGCAAGGATAGGTGTGCCTCTCTGATTAGGAATGCCAGGGACCCCCAGTCAGCAGCACCCAGCAAGTGTTCTCTCCTCTGCTGTCAAGAGCAAAGTCTCAGCTTCCCTAGGTAGGACGGGGCAGGTTTGCCTTTTTTCTCTTCCCACAAATATTTAGTACCCAAGTGTAGAATTGCCTTTGGAGTTTGGGGGAAAGGAAGGACCCCTATAATAATGACAGCTGCCGGGGAGGCCGCTTCTTCCAGGGAAATACCTCTTACTACTTATTATGATTGTTGTGTTTCCCCATTAGATGGCTGGGTTTTTTTTTTTTTTTTTTTCTATTCTGATAATGGTAATACTCTTTACAGATGACACACTAGTTACCACCTAATATGTATTGTTTTCATTTACAAATGAAAAGATAAAACATTGCAGCCAAGCAAGTACTTCTGAGGAATACAAACCTGCCAGCCAGGGACATCGCACCTGAAATGTCCAGTTTAGACCGAGGAGAACATGTACTTACGCGCTGCCGGGTGCCTGTGTCACTGGAAAACTCCCAGAATTTCCCTGGACCTGGCTTTCCGCTTCTCAAAGAAAACTTCCTGGCATTGAGCCTCTTACTTACAATTTTTTATTTGTACTGCTGTAATAGGAGGAATGAAAAGATTCATGGTAAATATTTAAACAGTCACTGGACAACAGATCTTAATGCATTGCTCTTCATTTCCATATGTAGAAAATGTAATTTTGCCCATAAACAGGTGTAGCCTCTGTGTATAATGCCAATAGAAGATCTTTTATCTACTGATTATATACTTCATACATGTCATACTATTGTTAAAATAGAATTCTTTCATTGTGTAACAGGTGCCTTTGACACACGGTATGATGTCACAACACCATTGACTTGTATGGCTTAAAATCTCTTTTGCAGTGGTTTAGATTCAAGCGTCTGTATGCAACAGAGCTTTGACATGCAGCGAGAGCATGACAGATGTTCTCACATTTTGATAGGCTCTTGGCAGCGTTGCCAGCAATGACCTACCATAGTAAAAAGCAGACCCCAGAGAGGGATTTGTGGATGAATGGAACGCATCTGAACAGTGTGTAATAGCAACCACATTTTTGTTTCTGTTACATTTTATTTTCATTTTCCGTCACTTTAGGATAATGTTACTTTCGATTCCACTTGACGACCCTGGGGTTTATATTTACTACATAGGTGACTTAAAAAGAGTATCTCCCAGGCTGTCTGTCATTTCTTCATTCATTCTGTGAGGCATATTATTTTTATTTTGTATTTTTTTTGAACAAAACCCGCCCCGCCCCAGATTTATTTAGCTTAACATTTCCCCTGATCTAAAAAGAAAGATGTCAAAAGAATACCTAGAACATATACACAAGCACCTACTCCAATGAACTCAGATAACCTAAAAAGAGAAAAGGGCAAAGTTCTGTTCAAAGGAGAAAATTATCTTCGCTTCTGGAAGATGTTCCCACGTCCCATTCCACGTCCTCTTCCTCTTGTAGCCACTTGGGCCTTGAGAATAGCAGCTTTTCCTCGGCCAGCCCCCGAGCCTTGGTTTTTATTTTTCATGCTCTTTAACATGGGTGCATTCTTCAGCATGTCAGGCAAAATCAGAAAGCGAATTTTGCTGCCACGGATGTATACCTGCTCCAGCTGTGCCACCCGGCCATCTCTGTATGTGACTGTGATGTTGGACATCTGGCAGTTCATGCTGTCCTCTGCTTCAGTGAGCTTCCCACGATACAGCTGGCCGGTGTTTGTTTCACATGTCACACTGTGGCCCTCGGCCTCATGCAGTACTTTAATCGGTACACCAATAGACGTCTTGGCAGGAAGAGTTCGGCTCCGGCCTCCTTCTTGTTCTCTTCCGTGCGGCAGCAAAACTGTCTATGGCGAAGGCGTGAGTTCAGCGACTGGCAGGCCCCGAGGCGTATTATTATTTGGATGTGAATACTGCAGCACAGATGACTCTGCATGCTTGGTCAACACTAATAAATGGTGGTTATGACCAAGAACCTCTTTTAATGGTACTGCCTACCTGGTGTTGTAGCTGATAAAATAGATCAGCCAAGGAGAAGGAGAAGGGCTGAAGAAACAATATGACTAAATGAGCCACAGAGTGCTCCACTTTGTGTGATCTGTTAACATATTCTCTCAAGACCCTGAGCATCTCAGCTGGGAAGGTGAAGGGTCTGGTGTCATGTTTTACAGACACAGAACAGAGCTGCTGTCTGTTTAGCCTTTATCCATTCCTGATTATAGCTGTGAGTAGAAAATTGATTTGTACCAGAAATACAGTTTTGAAAATCTGATCCTAGAAACTGTCAGTTTCTCTTCCGATCTGGAACACAGATAAGAATCCAGTTTTAGATAGGTTTATCAGATCTGCAGTTGATTAAGTTTTATCTTGCTTTTTATTGTGAATGACACAACCACATAATATTGATTAGAACCTGTGCATCGTTGTCTTTTAAAAAGTATAGGCAGTGCTCGACTTATCACCGTGCTCGGGACCGCGGAACGGTCGTAACACGATTTGGTCGTAAGTTGAGTAGGCTGTATGTACAGTTGAAATGGTGCACGCGGAGACGGTAGTGCTGCCGGAAGCTGGACCGCACTGTCGTACGCCCAGCTGGGCAACGTTTGTGCTGCCAGATGCGGAGCAGTCGTGGCTAGCGATTGTGGTCGTAAAGTCAAATGGTCGTAAGTTGCATAGGTCGTAAGTCGATCGATACCTGTAGTTGAAATATTGAACATAGAAATTGCATTTTTAAAACAGATTTGGTGGTAAGTGAATTGACTGAAAAATCTGTCTACATTTACAGTCAGCAAAATGTTCCATTTTAAACAAAGTGAAGTAATAGGGAAGTGGTAGTTAAATGTAGCCTATCAATAACATTTATATTATGATATTCAATGCCAGGTACTGTTTGAATGCAAGGAAAGTCCAGACATAAGCACTGCTCTGGGAAATTTAGTCTGACTGGAAAGTTGAAACAGAGAGATCTGAAAAGATCGAAGAACCCAAGGATATTATCAGAGTGGTCAGGGGAAAGGTGTAGGCTTCGGTCAGTGCTGTGGTGTCAGAGGTCATGCTGGCTGGGGTAGAGGAGGAGGCGTTCACAGGAAGGATGGAAGTTGGGCAGGGCTTTGGGGGAATGGGTGTTTTTATAATTCCCAATTCCCCACTGAGATTCCTGAACAGTTTTACCGCTGCCTTTTGTTCAAAGACTGCTTCTGCCTTTTTTGTTACAGTAAATTCAAGAAAATAACAATCCTATCCTCAGTACCCTGTGCGATGGTTGCCTGTGGCACGTGTCTGTAGATGGAATAGTGTACTGTGGTTGAACGGCGTGTCACAGAGGAATGTCATGTAGCAGAAATACACTTTGATTCCTCAGTTTCATCTTTGTTCAGCCAGCTGGAGATTGACTTTTCTTCTTTCAAAATGAAAGACAAAACGTATAGACCTGAAAAGAATGGTTAACTGAGCATATACCCCAAATCAACTCCGTTAACAAATGTCTACATTTTATAAGAGAAAATTAAGAGAATCCAAGTACTCATATTTTAAGGAGGGGAACAAACTTAATATAAGGGAAAAATAGTAAAGATTTTATAAGTAGTTAACATTGATTTTATTATCTTTACTCTTGTTCTCTTATACTTAATAGGAATTTGGCTTTTCTGGGGATTACCTGCTATGGTGCATATGAAACATCAATGACATCCCTAAGGCAGTTTGCTTTGCAGATGAGCCAAAATGCTAAAGTAAGATTTTTGCTTTTTTGAGACAAAGTCTCACTCTGTCGCCAGGCTGGAATGCAGGGACGCCATCTTGGCTCACTGAAACCTCTGCCTCCCAGGTTCCAGCGATTCTCCTGCCTTAGCTTCCTGAGTAGCTGGGATTGCAGGCGCATGCCACTATGCCCAGCTAATTTTTTTTTTTTTAGTAGAGACAGGGTTTCACTATGTTGGCCAGGATGGTCTCGATCTCTTGACCTCATGATCCACCCACCTCAGCTTCCCAAAGTGCTGGGATTACAGGCGTGAGCCACCCCGCCTGGCTAAAGTAAGAAGATTCTTTGGGTTTACCAACATGCCTTGGGGTGGAGGGAGTGGGAATTTTTTTTTCCCCTTTAATTCAGATTTTTCTAATCTTAGTGATAGCTGATTTGTGGTTGCTAGCATACAGGCTTTGCCACTTAAAGCATGTATATATATGTATATATATATATATATTTATATATGAACATTATTAGTGTTTTAATACTCATTAACATCTGCGCTTAGTTCATGAGACATGCAGCTTTTGAGTGTTGACTCATTCATATCCTTGGTGAGCTGACTATTGAATGAATGGTAATGTCTTCCCACTCATCATATATATTCATGTGATTGAGTAATAGGTAAGAAATTTTCAGAACATTTTAGTGAAGAGTGAATGGGCACCATTTTCAAAAAGAAACTTTTTGAGGGGTCACTGTGCTTTTTCATATGATTAGGAAACTGCTCAAATTGGTTATCAGTTGTTCTTGATGATTTATTGCCTGTTTGCATTATTTTTGATATTATGCTTCATGGCGACATATTTTACATTAGAATTTCCTGCATCATGCAGGCATTCTAGATTGAGAGCATAATATTCGTATTCAGAGTGTACATATTTATGTCCCTTCCTCGTTCTCTCGATACCAGCTATGTTAAAGTCATTGAACTCTGGAAGATATGTCTGTTTTCTTGCTGTCTTCTAACAGAGAAGTTATGTGGCCCAAGTCTGTAGTTGCCGCAGTCTCTGCTTCACTGTACATAAATTCTCTTCCATGTCTAAAAGAGGACACTACTTTGCAGCAGCCTGTGACTATGTAATCTATGATACGGTGAATGAGTACGTGTCAGTTGGCTTATAGAGATGTTTGTTAGGAAGTGACATGCATTCTATCTGCTTATGTCTTATTGATGAAAACATACTCATACTTGTTTGCAAAAAGGTTTGAAATGTAGTTTTATTCCCAGGAAGAAAAAAAAAATGTGGCCAGCTAAAAATTAGGGCCTTTTAATCAAGGAAACAAGAGAAATAGAGAGATGCTGGGGGACAACTAGCAGTCTGCCACGCAAAGCAAAACAGGCCTTCGGCAAGAGCTTTTCGGGATAGACCCTCTGAGATCAGGGCACCCAAATGCCATCTGGTGGCTAGGTTCCTAAATCTCAGGATCAGGGTTGGAAAAATGAAGGCTCCAAAGAAATGGAATTTTCAGATACTATAATTGTTGACAGCAGAAATCACATACTACAAAGACAGAAGCACCTGTTAAGGAGGCACTCCTCCCATGAAGAAAGAAATTTAATACCGTTTCTAGAGCATGGAGTGTGATGCAGGCGTATGGGAATATGTGGGCATTAAGTTCAACTCTGAGGGATTGCCTGGCATGGTGAGGATGCTGGGTAAGCTGGTGTCCAGATGGCTCTCCAGGTGTTTGATTCTCTGCCAAGTCAGTGTCTTGCCTGGGATGATCAACTCCCAACCACCCTCCTGCACAGTCCCTGAAGCAGATGTGGACATAGTCCATCCTTGGGCCTGCTGTTTGGAATGGAAGCATGGTACAAACCCACCCACAGAAAGGTGGTCAACTCCCTTATTTCATAGCTGTTTCCTTTGCTTTTCCTGGTGGTATGTTTTTCCACTAATAGGATTGTGGCCTCAGGACAAGTTATATGCCTTCCAATTCCATGTACGTTAGAGTTCATCTAATAGAGCCCTCTTATTTTACAGACAAAGAAACTAAAATTCAATCAGTATAAGTTGATTAACAGAAGTTATACTGTTAACAATTGACAGAGCCAAGACTAGAACTTACAGCTCCTGATCTGTGCTAACCCTGCACATTTTGTTATCAATATAAGTGATTCTCTCTATAGATCAGGGTTTTTGTTTTCACCTCTAAAATAAACATATTAGCCAGGCACAGTGCTTTACACCTGAACTCCCAGCACTTTGAGAGGCTGTTGCAGGAAGATCACTTGAGACCAAGAGTCCAAGACTAGCCTGGATAACATAGCAAGATTGTGTTTCTACCAAAAAAAAAAAAAAAAAAAAATTAGCCAGGCATGGTGGTATACAACAGTAATACTAGCCACTCGGGAGGCTGAGGCAGGAAGATCATTTGAGCCCAGGAGTTCCGGCTTACAGTGAGCTATGATTGTGCCACTGCACTCCAGTGAGACCCTGTCTTAAAAAAAAAAATTAAATAAATTAGACTAAATGGCCTCTAAATCCCTAAGCTCTCTTACCTCTAGAACGTATAGTTTCTGTACCATGGAAGTGTCTCATGAGTGCTTTGTAGATCCTTATAGAACCTATTAGATAACAATATTCTGTATAAAAGGGGAGATAATAAGGGACCACAAGTTTCTATTTTTATGGTTTGTAACTATGATTTATGATTTCTTGTGACTTGTTTTATAATTTTAAATGATAAATATTTTATGAATTTTAATGTTCCCTTCTTGTCTGCTTGTTACATATTAATGGAGATTTTACTGCCTTTTCCATTTATTTATTTATGTCATATATAGGCATACTTCATTTTATTTTGCTTCATTGTATTGTACTTTGCAGATTCCTCATTTTTTAAAAACCAAAGGTTTGAAGCAAACCTGCGTTGAACACCATTTTCCTAACAGCATGTGCTCACCTTCTGTCACGTTTTGATAATTCTCACAGTGTTTCAAGCTTTTTCGTTATTATGTCTGTTAGGATCTGTAATCAGTGAGCTTTGGTGTGACTGCTGGAATTGTTTTGGGGCATCACGAATGTGCGCATAGAAGATGGTGAACTTAATTGAAAAATGCTGTGTGTGTTCTGACTGTTCCGCCCATTGGCTATACACTCATCTCTCTCCCTCTCCTCAGACCTCCCTATTCCCTGAGACATAACAGTGTTAAAATTAGGCCAGGTAATAACCCAAATGTTCAAATGCAAGGAAAACACACACGTCTTCTCACTTTAAATCAAAAGCTAGAAATTATTACACTTAGTGAGGAAGGTGTGTCAAAAGCCAAGATAGGCCAAAAACTAGGCCTCTTGTAGTCACAACAGTTAGCCAAGTTGTGAATGCAAAGGAAAAGTTCTTGAAAGAAATGAAAAGTGCTACACCAGTGAACACATGAATAATAAGAAAGCAAAACAGCCTTGTTGCTGATAGAAAGTTTGAGGGATCTGGAGAGAAGATGAAACCAGCTGCAACCTTCCCTTAAGCCAGGGCTTAATCCCTAGCAAGGCTCTAACTCTCTCCAGATCTGTGAAGGCTAAAAAACATGAGAAAGATGCGGAAGAATATTAGGGAGCTAGCGGAGGTTGGTTTATAAAGTTTAAGGAAAGAAGCCGTCTGCATAACATAAAAGTTCAAGGTGGAGCAGTAAGTGCTAATATAGAAGCGCAGCAAGTTATCCTGAAGATCTAGCTAAAGTAATTGATGAAGGTGGCTGCCCTAAAACATTTTCAATGTAGGCAGAACAGCCTTCTGTTGGAAGAAGATGCCATCTAGGACTTTCATAGCTAAAGAGAAGTCTGCCTGGCTTCAAGCTTCCAAAGTTTCAAAGGACAGGTTAATTCTATTAAGGGCCAGTGCAGCTGGTGATTTTAAGTTGAAGCCAGTGCACATTTATCATTCTTAAAATCCTAGGGCCCTTAAGAATTGTGCTGAATTAGCTGGGCACAGTGACTCAAGCCTGTCATCCCAATGTTTAAGGAGACCAAGGCAGTAGGAAGTCTTGGGCCAGGAGCTCGAGATGAGCCTGGCAGTGTGGTGAGACCCCATACAAAATTTCTTTACAAAAAATGTAAAAATTAGCCAGGTATGGTAGCATGTGCTTGTAGTCCTAGCTCCTTAAGAGGCTGAGGAAGGAGGATCACTTGAGCTCAGAGGCCCAAGGCTGCAGTGAGCCATGATTGCACCACTGCACTCCAGCCTGGGTGACAGAGTAAGACTTTGTCTCTAAAACAAAAATGGAAAAAAAAAAAAAAAAAAAAGAACTGTGCTGAATTCACTCTGCCTGTGCTCTAGAAATGGCCTGATGACAGCACATCTGTTTACAGTGGTTTACTGAATCTTTTAAGCCTACTGTTGAGACCTACTGCTTAGAACAATTCCTTTCCAAATATTATTGCTCATTGACAATGCATCTAGTCACCCAGGAGCTCTGATGGAGCCGTACAAACGGATTAATGTTATGTTTATGCCTGCTGACACAGTATCCATTCTGCAGCCCATGTATGAAGGAGTAATTTTGACTTCCAAATCTTACTTTTTAAGAAATACATTTGTAAGGCTATAGCTGCCATGCATTGTGATTCCTCTGATGGATCTGGGCAGAGTAAATTGAAAACCTTCTGGAAAGGATCCACCATTCTAGATGCCATGAGGAACATTTATGATTCATAGGAGAAGGTCAAAATATCAACATTAAAAGGAGTTTGAATGAAGTTGATTCCAGCCTTCAGGGATGACTTTGAGGGATTCAGGAACTCAATGGACAAAGTCACTGCAGATGTGGAAACAGCAAGAGATCTAGAATTAGAAGTAGAGTCTGAAGATGTGACTGAATTGCTGCAGTCTAATGATCAAATTTGAATGGATGAGGAGTTTCCTTCTTGTGAATGTGCAAAAAAAAAATTGGTTTCTTGAGATGGAATCTGTTCCTGCTACAGATGCTGTGAACATTGTTGAAATGACAACAAAGAATTTAGAATATTCCATAAACTTCGTTGATAAATCAGTGGCAGGGCTTGAGAGGTTTGACTCCAATTTTGAAAGAAATTCTACTCTGGGCAAAATGCCATCAAACAGCATTGCATGTTGCAGAAGTCTTTCATGAAAGGAAGAGTCAGTGTGGCAAACTTCATTGTTTTAAGAAATTGCCACAGCGACCCCAGCCTTCAGCAACCACATTGCAATCATCAGCAGTCATCAACATCAAGGCAAGACCTGCCTCCACCAGAAAAAAGATTACAACTCTCTGAAGACTCAGATGGTCATTAGCATTTTATAGCAATAAAGTATTTTTAAATTAAGTACATTTTTAAAAAGACATATGCTATTGCTTTGTACACTAGTGTAAGCAGAACCTTTATTTGTACTGGGAAACCAAAAGTGTGTGTCACTTTCTCTTTTGTGATACTTGCTTTATTGTAGTGGCCTGGACCTGAACTACAATATCTATGAGGTGTGCCTGTGTAGACACACACTTAGAATTTTATTCAAGTCTTAATGTTAGTCACCATGTGGCAGTCTGAACCCCCATTTGAAAATACATTCAGAAATAAAATAAAACCTTATTTACTCTTTTCGGTTTTGTCATCTTTGGTGGACTTCTCCCAGGATCTTATTCAGGGATTGGCATTCCTGCCAACACTGGCACCATTCTAACTCGAATTCAGAAGAATATTCACAGATCTATTTTGGAAACTGTAGCCCAAGACCTCTGCCCCTTGTTTGGTGAATCTAGATAGCCCTTCTGTGTTCAAAGCAGGTGATTCTTCTACCTGCAGGGTTACGTCTGTCCCAGTGTCTGTCACCCTATTTCTGTCTTCTTAATAGGTGGTGGTAGACAAAGAATAGGATTTGCAGGCCATCCAGAAACACGAGTGTGATCATTGTTCAGATGTGCTCTGCCGAGAGAAGCCTTGGCAGGAAGGAGTTGGGGGTCATCTTTTCGTGCTTTTCTTAAACCCTAGGGGCAACATTTTAGGTTACCAGCTACTCAGCTGTTTTTGGCTTTCTGCATACTCTTTGAGAACAAAAGGAGAGGAGAGACAATAGAAGCTTCGTGTGGGCTGTCCACCTGCTACAGAGATTTCTTCCCTCTCCCCTCCCCACCCCGCCCCCGCCACTCTGCTTTGCCTGGAGTTACACTGATGGTCCATGGGTGATGGCTGAGTAAAAATAGACCCAGTGCTGGGGATATTCCATTATCTCCCTGAAGGAAAAACCATTACTGGCATTACTGGCATTGGTCTGTGAAGGAGGGAGGAAAAAATTTCCATCTCCACAAACGTAGTCTTTTGATTTGGATTAAGTGTACCTTGACCTGGGTTTAAGGAGGTAGATTGGATTTATCTGTTCTGACTCTATGTAACATATAGATGGAAGTGTTGTCATAGTTATAAAATGGTAGTATAATATCGTGAAGTGTAAGGCATTGTGAGAGCACCTCGTAGAGACACATGCAGGTTCCTTTTCATTGTCTGTTGGGTACATGCTCCTCCACACAACTTTCTATGCCCTTCTTCATCCTGCCCCAGAGCCGCCCCATAGCCCAGGACCACCATACTCAGACTCGCCTCTGCCTTGTCTCTCCATGACCCGTCCTGGTTCTGCTCATTTTTCTTTACTATTTTCTGAAATTCCACACATCCTTCAATATTCATCCAAATGCCAGCTCTCCTGTAGAAGCCTGTCTGTCTTCTTGCTCCTGCTCCTGGGAGCTCAGTGTAAAGCAGAAGACAGGGAAAGAGGACATTCAGCTATTAGTTGAAAATACAGCATGGATATGCGGCCATGTTCTCGGTACATAAACATGTTGCTTCAGAGGTGAATTGTCCTGAGAAGAGGTGCTGGCTTCTCTGTTTCAGGCTGTCACAGTTAAACAGTTGAGTACTCTGAGGTAGTTACTTCTGGGTCTTCATGTAGAAATTGATATAAAACACTGTGGCTTTGTTAAGACACTCGAGAAAGCTTCATCATTTATGTTGGTTCACGTCTCAAAGAAATTTAAATCATCTTCTCAGGCTGAATTGATAAATGCAACCCATTTTAATTTTGTCTTTAGGAGCATCTACCAGTTAGTTCTGGATCAAGTAATAGATGACTCCTTGTGTCCTCTGAGCTTCTATGTGTGTACATTTGTATACATTTGTCTGTATAGAAGTAGCCATAAACATTAATATACACATACAAGCATGTCTTTAAACAGCATGCTTTTTCTTTTAAATCTCAGTTCAGGTAGAGAATGACTGTGAAATTGAACTTAAAATAGAAAATCATTTAGGCTGCAAGTGAAAAATCATTATGTGCTACCTACATCTGGAGCCGCAAGTTTTCTGTTTTGCCTGGGATATATCTAATTCAACTCCAGAATTTAATATGTATATAGCTAATTTAAGTATTTGGAAGATACTGGGAAAGAGTATAATCTGAACTGTGGATGGCATATTGTTTGCAAATCTGCAGATTTGATTGTGTTGGACGTTCGGACTTTGACACCACTGCTCAGAATCCTTAGAGATAAGAGCAATGAATGAGTATTCTGGGATTCCTAAAGCTCACCTGTTTGGATTTACAATTCATTTATCTCTGTGTATGGCTGCCTTTTCTTACGTTTTCTCAGAAATTCTCTATCAGCATTGATGGGTGGAGGTGGGATGCAGAAGAACACCTTTCATTCATCCTGTCACTGTGTTTTTATTAAGAATGTACCACGTGTCAAGCATTGTGCTAAACACTGGGAATGTAGCAGTGACCTGAAGAGAGGTTGTCTTTGCCCTTATGAGAAATACAAGCAAAAACAAGTGAACAGAAAATAAATGTCAGTATTGCAAGTTGGGAGAAGACCAGTGCATGAAATAAACAAAGACTGTAGCCCAGAATGACAGAGGGTCCCATGCGGCTTGAGTGATTATAGAAGCTCCCCTGAGTTTTCATTTAAATGGAAAACTAAAGGCTCAGAGGGAACTAACCATGTGAAATTGGGGGACAGGCAGCTCAGAATGTTAAAGCAAAGGCCCTGAGAACAAAGCACTTGGTCTAAGAGAGGACCTGAGAGAAACCCAGTGAGTAAGGGAGAAGTGGATGAAGGGCAGCAGGGAAGGCAGAGAGCCTCATGGCAGTGTTAGGGATGCCACATTAATTCCCAGTGTGATGGGAGTCACTGCAGAGTTTTATACTGGAGAGCGACATGGTTCTGATAGAAGAAAATCATTTTCCGTTTTGTGGAGAACAGTTTAGAGGAGGTGATAGGGAAGTGGAGAGAGCAGGTGGACATTGGTAGCAGTAGACCAGATAAGAGATAAGGTGACCTGGGCTAGAGTAGGGACTTTGGACAAGGCAGGCTGGTGAGTTTGTAGTATACCTAGAAGGTAGAATTGTGTAAGGGATTGCATGTTGGTGGGCTGAGAGAAAAGGATGCATGAGGAATGACTGAGATTTTGAATCTGAGAAACTGATACCATTTATCAATGAGTTGGCAGTGGGTTGTGAAGGATCAGATTAGGAGGATAAATATTTTGAACTTGTTAAGTTTTTGGTACATGTTAAATATCATCCAAGTGGCAATGTCAAATAGGGAGTTAGATATTTGAATCTCATGCTCAAAGGAGAGATCTGAGTTTTAAGTGGGAATCTTCAGCATACATAAGTTTCTTAAATCCAGGGACAAGGGTAAAGTCACATGCAGAGCATATAAAGAGTAGAGAAGACTGAGCTTGGGGGAGCCCCACATCTAGTGGGGTTCAGTTAAAGGAGGAAGAGCCAGCAAAGGAGCATGAGAAGCAGCAGCCAGGGAGGTGAGAGCTAAACCCACAGAGACGTCACCAGGTAGAGCAGGAAATCCAGGAAAGGGGATGAAAAGAAGGGAGTGGCAGGCAACACCTAGTGCTGATGGTTGGGTAAATGAGGAAGGAAGAGGAGTTCTTGGATTTGGCAAGGTGGATTGTTGGTGATATTGATAGGAGCCCTTTCAGTAAGTAGTGGGGGGGACAAGGGCTGAACAGGGTGTATCAAGAAAGACAAGGAGGAGGTAGATGCTTTTAGCACTCACTGGTTTCTTTATGAGTAGGTGTGATTGGAGATGGGGAGAATTCGCTATGCCTTTACTCATTTTTTATGGCATTTTTGCTAGTAAAAATAATCTTGTATTAATGGTATGTTGTAAAAGGCTTTAATTAGGGGCCGAGGCAGGTGGATCACAAGGTCAGAAGAGAGAGATCATCCTGGCTAACACCTGAAACCCCGCCTCTACTAAAAATACATAAAATTAGCCGGGTGTGGTGGCACGCACCCGTGGTCCCAGCTACTTGGGAGGCTGAGACAGGAGAAGCACTTGGACCCGGGAGGCAGAGGTCTCAGTGAGCAGAGATTGTACCACTGCACTCCAGCCTGGGCAACGGAGTGAGACTTCATCTCGGAAAAAAAAAAAAAAGCTTATGTTAAAAATATTTAAATTTTTTAAGAAAAATACAATTCCTGGTACATTAATTATCTCTGACTTTTAACAGCTGTGGTTTACATCCTGTTCCCACTCTCTCTCTTCTTCAGATTTCTTTTCAAATTTGACCTTTTATTCCTGTAGAATAACCTGTACGGCTGTGCTAAGAAAACCTATTTAAAAAAAATCGACCTGGCACAGTGGCTTACGCCTGTAATCCCAGCACTTTGGGAGGTCAAGAGATCAATACCATCCTGGCCAACATGGTGAAACCCCGTCTCTACAAAAATACAAAAATTAGGTGGGCATGGTGGCACGTGCCTGTAGTCCCAGCTACTCGGGAGGCTGAGGCAGGAGAATCACTTGAACCCGGGAAGTGGAGATTGCAGTGAGCCCAAGATTGCGCCACTGCATTCCAGCCTGGTGACAAAGCAAGACTCTATCTCAAAAAAAAAAAAAAAAAAAAAAAATCTTAATTATATGAAACTTATTTTACCAACAAGGCTTTTCTCAGCATTTGTGTCATTTAAGGTCAGGACCAGGGAGAAGGTAGGAAAGGGGAAGAAAATAGGCCCCATACAATTAAAAGTTGCATGGGACATGTTAAAGTGACAGAAACTAGATTGCCTTGGTGCATTGATGGGTTGGTCTAGAGGGAGGGAATCACTCCAGGAACCAAGTTCCTTGAGAAGGGAAGGGGAGCAACAGCCCTAAGAGGAAGGATTGGCCTTCACAGGAGAAGGGGCATTTTCTGTGTTCTGTGGCGAGGGAAGAAAGAGAATGAGTGTCCAAGAGTGCCTGGGGGCTTCAGTGCAGGGAATCCAAGCACCAGCTCCTTGGTCTCCTTCTGTGAGACCTCTTAGTCCCTGAATTCTCCATCTGCTTACTTATTTTTTCTTTCAAACAATTTCTGAGTTTCACCTTAAAAAAGTAGTTTTCCAGCCTGGTCAACATGGCAAAACCCAGTCTCTATTAAATATACAAAAATTAGCCAGATATTGCGGCACATGCCTGTAATCCCAGTTACTCAGGAGGCTGAGACCAGAGAATTGCTTGAACCCTAGAGGCAGAGGTTGCAGTGAGCCATGATCGTGCTACTGCACACCAGCCTGGGCAAAAGAGCGAGACTCTGTCTTTAAAAAAAAAAAAAAAAAACAGGCACAGTGGCTCACACCTGTAATCCTAGCACCTAGCTGAGGTGGGTGGATCGCCTTAGGTCAGTAGTTCAAGACCAGCCTGGCCATCATGGTGAAACCCCATCTTTAAAAAAAAAAAAAAAAAGGTTGGTGGGGGTAGTATTGAAATTGTGAAGTATTTACATTTTTTTGCTATGTGCTTAGTTTAGGAGTAGGAAGACTCCCAAATATTGAGCATTAGAATTTTCTCCTTCTTGGCCGGGCGCGGTGGCTCAAGCCTGTAATCCCAGCACTTTGGAAGGCCGAGGCGGGTGGATCACGAGGTCGAGAGATCGAGACCATCCTGGTCATCATGGTGAAACCCCGTCTCTACTAAAAATACAAAAGCTGAGGCAGGAGAATTGCTTGAACCCAGGAGGCGGAGGTTGCGGTGAGCCGAGATCGCGCCATTGCACTCCAGCCTGGGTAACAAGAGTGAAACTCCGTCTCAAAAAAAAAAAAAAAAAAAAAAAAAGAATTTTCTCCTTCTTATGATTAGATTCCTACCTGGTTCTTTTCTATATCAATCAGGATAGGTGCAGTCATTGCAGTTAATAAGCAACTCTGAACTCTCAGGAACTTAAAGCCAGAAAGGCTTCTATCTTGTTCCTGCATCCTGTCTGTTGGATGTCAGCCTGGGCTGCCTACCACATCCCCTCATTTGGGAGGCCAAGGCACGTGGATCACGAGGTCAGGAGATCGATACCATCCTGGCCAACATGGTGAAACCCCGTCTCTACTAAAAATACGAAAATTAGCTGAGCATAGTGGCATGTGCCTGTAGTCACAGAGATAAAGTGTGTGATACCTTCTGGTGGCTTTCAATCCTTTTGTCTAGAGGTAACTCTCCCACCCCTGGCCACACCTCTTTGGCCATCACTATGAGACCAGACAATTTGAGGGTGGGTAGAGAGCACCACAGCCGTTCCTTCATGT